GCAGGGCTGCTGGTCGGGTGCCACTTAAAGTAAACAACTCCTGGCCAGAGTCTGCACCTGGCATCCTCCTCCTGTCCCAGGTCACAACCTAAACCCTCTGCACCCCCCTCCCGCACCAGGTCACCATCCCTTTCAGTCCCAAGTCATACAACCCAAATCCTCTTCACCCTTGCCCAGGTCACAACTCCTTCCCAAATCCTGCACCTCCTCCTACACCTCTTCTCCATGTCAGAATCCTTTCCTGCACCCATACCTCACTGCCAGAGTCCCCCAACCCCTCTTTCACCCTAATCCCTTACCCAGACCTCTCTACTGCATGCAATTTCCATTTCAATCCTCACACCCCCTCTATTAAGATTATAGAAAAGTGTGGCCCTTGAATACTTACCAAATTCTTGGAGCGGTCCCCCATCAAAAATTGTTTATCCCTGTATTAGATACATTTGTATCACTATATTCTTTGCCTGATTCTGATCTGAAAAGCATACTTATTAATTTTAATCAGAGCCGGTACTTCTTCATAGCCCCCGTTCCACACCCTGGAGAGAAAGGGAGGACCAACCCCCCAAAAAACAAACCCCTCTCATTGGTGTGGTCCCCAACTGAGGAGAAAGACACTCCCCACATTCCCATTGCCCACCAGAGTCTAGGGCGACCCAGCTTAGCAGATTTTGTGTGCTGCAGCACTGCAGTGGAGCAACACAAGCTCCCCAATGCTGGGAGTGGCTCTGAGCTTTGGGCAACCTGATCCAGGCTAGCCTGAGATTCCCCACCCCTGGCCTAGGACCTCAGATTGTTTTAATCCAACTCTATGTACACTAAATAAAATCTTAAATGACTGACTCTGACTGGTGTGTAGTTAAAAATTATCAATGCAGAATAATGTAGGAACTGGAACTATGCTGGTATTTCACATTTCAATGGGATATTTCACATATTTCACTTTGATATTTAGCTCTCTGTATCTGAAAAGCCATGCATTCACAATGTCTACAATATCAAAGGGAGTTAAGAAAACAGGTAATGCTTGGGAAAGCATGAAGGGAATTTTGCTTTGATGCTTGTATATTTCAAATTAAAATTAATGGAACCATTTCTTTTGACTTTTAGGAGAATCACTGAGAGATTCTTTTCAGTTTTTCTAAAGCAAATACGGCAGTCCACTACTGTGAGTGCAGTGAAGAATTCTGGCATCCAAATGAAGCTTTTTCTGTAAATCAAAGTGAGGTAAATGAGTTTTCAGTTTAGTGCTAACTATCTTTAGGATTTGGATATGAACTATAGTTGGACTCTGGGCAATCAATAGAAATTTCATAAACTATTTGTGATGGCTTCTCAACTAAGTGTTAGCCAACCCTTGAAAACAATTATTTGACCTATCCCAGATGACAAGAACATCCAAGAAGAAAAATCGGAGAGATGACGTGAGATGCTAAATTGGATGGAAGAAGGCAGGTCAGTGATAGATATCTGGGAAAAAAAAAAACATTAAAGAGGATGCTTCTAACTTGAGACTAACAAGACCCACCTTATGTCCTCTATATTCTAAATATATGGGTTTTCTGAATTTAAGGAGGGGAAAAAATCCATGACTCATTTAATAAAACCATTAACACTGAGGGCTATATATGTAGCCATATCTTTTAATTATTCTGGGTGAATAAAGTAATAATCTATTTAAAATACGAGACATTATGTGGCTCAGATGCTGTAATTGAAAAATGTAAAAGACATGGATAGTTTCATCATTGCTAACAAATGTACCTACTGAAGCTGGAAAAGTGAAAAGGGCGATCAACTCAGGTTAAGTCTATACTAGACCTAGAAAGCTGCCTTAAGAGACACAACTCCAGCTATGTAAATAACATAGCTGGACTCAATTTACCATAAGCCGAGCTTGGTACAATCCCCACAGTGGGAGGTCAATGGAAGCAAACACTCCTATCGACTTCCCTTACTCCTCACAACTGCAAGGAGTGCTGACACTGACTGGAGCCATGTTCAGTGTTTGATTTAGAGGGTCTTTGATCTCTAGTGCAACAAGTGGAGATGTAACCTCATACACTAGTGTACAAGGTAACAACTTATAGAGGCCAGGCATTCAGAATAGGAGGAGGAGGTGCTATCCTTGGAAGCAGTGATTCAGAAAAATATTCAGGGTCATGGTAGATAATGAACTCCCAATGTCATGCTGAGGACAGAAGGGATAATGGGTATTTATCTCCCCTTCCCCCCCTCCCCCCGTCTTGTACATTAGATGATGGGTGCATTATGGATTTACTGTCTTGTCACTGGTGGACATAGGGCACCAGACTTGATGATCAAATGGCTCTAGCCAGTGAGGAAGTCCATTATCGTTAACCATGTTTATTTGGGGTAAAAAATTCCAAAAGCACGCATGTGACTTAGAAGTCTAAATTCCATTTTCAGAAGTGACTTAAACACTTCAGTGGAAGTACAAAGGTCAAACAGATTTTAATAATAACAGTACAGTACCTTCTTTATATGATTTGTTTGTGCCAATACAAAGTGTACAGTATGCTCCTGTTTACCCAAATAGCATGGTGGACGCAGATTGTATTGAGATTGTCCTCTCGATTATCGAAACTCCTGACTGACTCTTCTCTCAGGTCCGTCAAGCGCTTTCCTTTGCAGTCAGAAACAGTAGAGCAGGGTATAGACTTTGCTGTTGTCACTAAACATGAACAGTGAGAACAAAGCAGCAAACTTGCTAGCACCTGGGCTCCTATTGTGTCTGCTCAGCTTGATGTGCCTCAGCAGTGACACCAGTGGGCCAACCAGGAAGCAGGACAGAGGCCATGTTGAAAAAAGAGCAGGTCACTCAAGTGTGGATCCATCAGGGTTAGTTAGAGCTATGACACTGACCAGGTGAACAGCAACTTCCTGGCGAAGGTGCAGGGATAGCACAGTGGGCAGGGGAGGGGACGTCCATACAAGCAGCTGTGTATGGATGGCAGAGGTGTCACTCCCAGCAAATGGGCAGGATACCTTACTTAAGACGTTGCACACATGAAGCTGGTTTTGGGGACAGGGACAAGGAAATGATTTGGATCATATGAAGATTTGGGTAATTGGTTTTCAGATGAACAGGAGTATACTGAGAAATATTTGTACAGCACATATACATAAATGTATTATGACTTCAGATATGTCTCATTGGAAAGCTAGAGATTATAGGCATCTAAATCTTAATGTTAAGACAAAATATCTCTGTTGTTCAAAATAAACACATTAGCTAGAATCGTGCAATTAAAAAAATTACTCCTTACTGAAGCAAATCATCCATTGTGCTTGGTGAGGATTTTGTCCAAGTAAGAACTGCAGGCTTTGGTCAGTAAAAATTGAATGAATGAAACAAACATGATTAGGAATTGCATTTCAGCCCCTTGGGAACTGGGAGCGGTTATAGTTCTGCTGTTTTTGACAGAAAGCAGGCTCCAGTATAAATAACCACAAAAAGAAAAAAAAATATTTAAATAAAATTCAAAAAGACATCCTTGATAGAATGCCATTGATTTGAGTGCAGATATACTAGCGACAGACATAACCCATTATGTTTTGGATCTGCTCATTTATTGATCCTCTTAATTTACTTTAATATTTTAAACAAATGCAAATTACAGTTTAAGACTGAAAATTTCACAGCCCCTTTAGTCAAACAGTGTATCGCTCTGGTTTCAATAAGGAAAAATTTGTGAACTTCCTCTTTGTAAATGTCTGTGTAATGCTGTATTACTTCCAAAAAACATGATTCAGATTGCTATGCTACAATCAGTCTTCTTAGTCAAGTTGGTGTTTTTACAGGAACATATGCAGTGGCTACACTGGAAAAGTTTATTCCAGTTTTAGAGCTATTGCTGGTTTCAGCAATGTTTTAAATGTACTTAAGGTTTGTTAGAAAAAGAAGTACAGTACCCTAATAAGTTCATTCAACTAGTAAGAGCACTCACTGTAATGAAATCTTATTCTGCCTTGGCAATTCATTTTTATTCTCAGATTTTTTAAATTATATTTATTATATTGATCATAGTTTTTTAAATGAATTTTAGGATAGGTGTTTCAATATTTTCTACCTTGTAGGAATTATCAGGATAATAATCCTGTTTTTGAAACTCTAGATTCTTTTGTATGACATTTGCATAGAAAACATACTAGTAATGGCTATAGCTACTCCTGGGTTATCAGAGAGTCTTGAAGATGACAGTGAATCCATAGAATGAAATATGTAGTGAACAGCAAGTCTATGTTTGGTGGGCTCTGCAGTGTAACTCTTTTCTCAGATCTAGATCAGTACAGACCAATTTCATTCATGCAAAATTAGCTATGGAGAGTCTCAGCTTTTCTTCTCGTGCATGACTGTCCTCAGAGGGATTTGGATTAGGCCTTTACTGTTGGATTTCCCTTCCAATTTTTGTAAAATATCATGTGAAAATTGTGTGCCAGGCTATTGCTCAAAGGCTATTCCTGACTATAGCCAGTGGCACATGGAGTTAGTTGTCTAGGGTTTCTGAGGACCACCGATGGGCAGGCGTGTCAAAGGCCTAGCAATTTAAAAAGGCTTGGGGCTGCAGCCACAGGAGTGTCCAGAGCTCTGGGCCATTTTAAATTTCTTCCAGAAGGCCTGGCCATGTGGTCGGGACAGTATAGAAGGGCTCACTGGGGAGACTAGGCCCCATCCTGCGCCTTCTGCTCAAGGTCACGCCCATTCTAGGAGGACCCAGAGTCTGGCTCCTCATTTTTCCTAGTGAACCAGTATTTCTGTTTCAGCCCAGGTGTTTCTGAAGACCTGTGAGAGGCAAGTCATTGTGAAAAGGACTTAGAGGTTGTGATAGATAATCGACTGAACATGAGTTGCCAGTGTGATACTACAGCTAAGAGGGCAAACATGATCTTTGGAGGCATCAAAAAGAATATCAAGTAGATGCAGGGAGTTGGTACCATTCTGTATGTGGCATTAGTGAAATCATTCCTAGAACACTGCATCCAGTTATGCTGTCCGCACTTCAAAAGAGTGTTGAATAATTGGCAAGGGTTCAGAAAAGAGTTACCAGAATGATTCAAGGTCTGGGAAACATGCCTTATAGTAAGAGCAGGTCAATCTGTTTCTTTTATCAAAAAAAAGGGGGGGGGGAGGTTGGACTAAAGGATCATAAATATTTCTTCTGACCCTCAAATGTATGTAGGTATCAAAATAAGGGATTAGAAAGGTGCACAGACTGAGGTGGCTGCATTGGGTGAGTAAAATAGTCTCTGTGTATAGTCTCTGAAAATCCTGTGGGGAATTCTTTGGCATGCAACATGTAATGTGATAGTCATAATATAGGGTATTTATATATAATTAAATATCTGTTACTTTTTGAAATTTCACCTTGTGGGACTGTGGTTTTGCTTGAACATATATTGTTATAAAATTCAGTTTATTTTGGTGACATTTCTAAACAAATTACATGTAAACTGGAGAAATGTAAAGAACATGATTTGGCTTTTTAATAAGAAACTAGGAATCAACTTCAGCCTTGTGCCAAGATAATAGTGAAGAAAAGCCTATGCTCTATATTTATGAAGTGAGTTTTTCTTAATTTTTAATACTTTTATTAACACCAGAGATTATTTTAAAGATTATTTTCTTCATTTTTCAGTTTTGGGAGGGATTTTCTTACATTTTATGATGATTCTCTTGCACTTGAAGGTGATAAGAACAAATATCGTGCTTTTATTTCTCATGCTCAATTTACAAGTATTTAAAATTAGCCTGAACATTGATGACCTATTACTGAACTTTGTAAATTATTCCATATTGATAAAGCATTAAAATTTGTTGTTGCTACTATAAGAAAAACAAAATAACTAACCATAGAAAAAAAGGGAAAACTAGATTCCATTTGTCTTGCTAAGGCCAAAATATTATGGTCATCATTCATTTAGAACTGAATCCTGCTCCCATTGAAGTCAGAGGTAAAACGTCCATTAACTCCAGTGGTGCAGGATTAAGCTGATAGTGCACTTTTAATTTATTAGGCTCAGTCCTTTTTCTCTGATCCTGATATAATTTAGGATTATCTCCATTGGCTTCAGTGGAACTCCGCAAACATAAAAAAAGGTGAAAGAGGAAAATGAAGCCCTCTCAGTATACTCCAGCCTATGATACATGTAAAATATACATGACCTTCTTGTATCGACTATCACAAAATCTCTGTGTTTTAGGT